CCATTCTGCAGGAACACATGTTCCCTGGCATAGAGAGAAAAATCTGACAGACCAAAATGTGAGCGTGCGCGTGCGTGTGTGTGTGTGCGCGTGTGTGTGCGCGCGCGTGTGTGCGCGCTCGTGTGTGTGTGTGTGTGTGTGTGTGTGTGTGTGTGTAGCTCCATATATAGCGAGCTGAAAATAAAAGGGATCTATTTCTTTTGCGAAAAGATTAAATTATTTTAAAAGTAAAGGAAATCGGTATTAGCAGTAGTACGAAAGGGAGCACACGAGCCTTTGCAGTCTCTGTGCTTGTGGCCATGTGCACGCGTGTGTTCCAGGCAGAGAGGATTATGACACCGGGGGGAGGTGACACTGCTAAAATGCACGGTAAGGTCAGAACCAGAACAAACATGCAGTCACCGTGAAGAGTGAGATTAGATGACTTGAAGAGCTTGTATGCGCTCTTAGGGAGCAAAGCAGCTGGAATTTTCCTGTCTCAGCGGGCACAGAGGCCCTTTGCCTTCTCATTGTTTCCTGCTGGGATGCGAAACCACTTTTCAGAAAAGACAACCCTGGCTCCACTGAGGCAAGCAGCGAAAAGGAAGGCGAGTCCAGGGCGCAGGAAGTGCAACCGGACTAAAATAGAAGAAACAGTATCTGGATGGAAAAGTAAGGACCAATTACCCAACAAAGCTAGTTCTAAATAAACACAATGGAATTTGTTCATTATGTGTTAAACCACCATTTTCCACCAGAGGGCAGACTTTACATTAAAATAGACCTAAAAGAGGCCTTCAAGAGTTTGTTTGTTTTTTTTTAATTTTTCTTTTGAATTTTTTTAAACCAGTATCTGGTTTCAAACCGATTGAAAGATATTTTAAAGTATTAAAGACCTGGGGTATGATAATATGAAGTTTCTTGGATTTTAGTTACTATTTCTGCCATATTAGCAAAATATTCAAGAAGTGATCCCAAGCAGGCACTTTTTCCATGACCCGTCGATTGGTCTTAGACATATAGTGTCATCGTAAGCAAAACTGTGAGTTTTTATATTGTTTACAAAATAATTAGAGAAAATTCTCTCTCTTAACTGAACTAGTACAATTTTCTTTCACTCCAGTAGAACTTGCTGGGAATAACTACTTTTAACTGAAATTACTGTTAGAATTTTCATAGATAGCTTAGATATTTCCCCTAGAGGAGATAACACCTATATAAAAGCTAACTAAATCTATGACAGACTCTTAACTAGTATACTCAACTCTGTAAAGACACAATTTTCGGAGAATTTAAGACTTATTTTTCTCCAAGATTCTTTTCCTTGATTGAACAGAATCGTTCTTATAACAAATAAAAAGGAAAAGCTGCTATCCATATCTTTTTAAACAAGGTCAGATCACTGGATAGCAGTCGCCAGGTTGTCACTTCTGACCCCATTATTTTTTATGGCAATACCCTGCTCCAATTGACTGCTTTGTATATTCTACTTTGAAATCATATACACAGAATTTACCGTATTAGAACCTAAGTCCAGATTGATATACCTTGAAAAGTACAAAGAACAAGATAACCCTAAAGAAATCAATTGCAGGAAGTTTTTGGTGCATAAGCTCAATATGTTGGTTTGTTATTAGCATCACAAAACACTTGGCTGATCTTGCTTCTTGGTGTGTGTGTGTGTGATAAATTCTTAAGTGAATGCAGGAGTGAAATCTTTGAAGAAGACATTTTCATCATTATGAGAGCTACAATATGTTTTATTTTATTTATCTTTAAATTTATTTCCTTTAGTACTTAATACTTCTAAGAAAGGAAAAAATCAAAATGCATAAGATTTTGCTGCCTAGGAAACTAAATTATTTTTGTGTGGAGAAGCTAGAGATTTATATACTCTTAAAGTGACAAAGAAATAGAGCTGTACGTATTCCCTTTTATTTTTATAATAATCTCTAGCAGAAATATTGCAATTAATTTTGTGCAATCGAGACAGAAGTGTTCCTTTTTTTACTTGTGTCCAAAATGAGCATGGACACTGAAATGTAAAGTTAGTTGACAATCTATCATTGATTCAGAAATGTTAGCAAGGTATAATAATCTTGCTGTTTTCTATTTTGCTTGAAAAGATAAACTTTGCTTTAATTTTGGTGGAAAATTTGACTTTACAATGAAAATCTCTGTTGCTTTTTTTTAAGGTAACTTTCATTTCATTTAGCACTATAGATAACAAAATTGTCTGCTTGTTTACAGAGCTTGACACTATTTTTCAGCTGTGCTTAATTAACATTGGATAAAAATCCTCTGGAACCCTGGATGAGGATTCAGAAAATGAGAAGTCTGATCAGTAGCTGTGTGGTGTGGATTAATCTTTTAACCTCTCTGAGTCTTGATTTCAGTCTGTACAGAGCTGATAATAGGTACTACATAGAGGATGTTGAGAGCATTAAAACAAAACTTACAATATGTCTGTGAAAACTGTCAGCTGTGACACATTGCAGATTTGATTGTGAGATCAAAATAATCCAGATAATGAATTTAACAATACCCTATCCTGAGTAGCAACTTTCTTTATTATTAATAAATTACTTGTGTGGACCACATCAGTAGTTCCCTTGTAAAATGCATATTAGCAAAAAGCTTGGAGAAAGTCTTTATGTGAACAAGCAGTAGGTTTAAAATTCTTGTTTAACTGCTAGTGATTAGAAAACAAAGTGAAAATAAAATATAATTTCCATTTCTGTTATATTTAATGGAGAACTTAATGATATTAATATTGGTTTTTGTTACTAATTTTGGTATTCTTTTCAGTTCTCCATTTAAAACAGTAAATGAAAGTACGTCAAAATTTACTGTTTTGCCTCAAAAATCTTGGCCTATATTTTCAGATCTGGAATTATCCTTGCAGTGACATTTTCCTCATCTCATTTTACACCTTGCCTTTTCCTTACAAAATCATATTCTCTTTTCATCAGTACATCTGCCCAAAACACTCTTCGACTTGACAGTTCTATCCCACACTCGCCTCTGAGCTTCTAACAAGACATACCTCTGGGAATTGCAAAGTGCCATATTTAAAATCTCTCAGTGAGATATACAGGTTTCCCTGTGTGATCATAAGGGATTCCTCAAATCTGAGTTTTAGAGCTAATCTATGACAACTGATAAGCACAGTATTTTCACATTAGTGTATTTATGTTGTGCTAATATACTTAAACAGTATGTATGTCAACTGAGAATTTCCCCAGAACTTTCTTATCAGCTTTCTTTTAATTTTTAAGAAAGAAGTCATATACATTTGATCAGCATTGGCTGAAATTGGACCTCCAAGCTAAAAAGGCTTAGCCAAATTGGAGAGAAGGTGTCTTAGATATCACAAATATTCAATGGAATATTAGTCTGCAATAAAAAGGAAGAAATTACCGATATACAACATGGAAGAGTTTCAGTTTTATGCTAAATTAAAGAAGCCAGACAAAGATTACATATTGTATGAATCCAGTCTGAATGATCAATACTACAAAGATAGAAACCAGATTAGTGCTTGCCCAGGGATACCAGGAGGGCATGCATTAACATGGAGCTTAGGGCTAGTTTTTGGAGTGATAAAAAAAGTCTTCATTGTAATAGTACTTGCAAAGTGTACACATTTATCAAATTTATCAAATTATACACCTAAAAAGAGTGACCCTTACAGAGTACAAATAATACCTCTCTGACTTGAAAAATTAACTGATTTGTTTTTTTAAAAAAACAATATACTTGTAGCTTTGAGTTGTGTAGCATCTCTTTCTGGAGAAGTTGTATTATTATGTATAGGATGTGTCTGTTTTTCATTTCCACATCTTTCCCTAAATGTCTGACAGCAACAGTTATAAATAACTAAAGGTTAACAGTATAACTTATTAGTGTATTAAGGAACTTTAGGGTGAAATGATACTAATGTGTAAATATTATGAAATGCTATTAAATGAAAACATTATTAGGTAGAGTGTCTACCCTAGTACCATGCTGATTACTTGATTTTTATTTTCCAAACATCAGCAAGTAAGCTACTTCTCCACAGACATTTTGTACTTAATATTACTTAATGGTTATCAACTTCTGTGAGGTAAATGATATTAGGCACATTTTAAATAACAGGGGTATAGAATGAGAGCAGTGTCAACAACAAATCTCACAAGTCCTTGTTTCAAAACCAGCGCTAGAAAACACAGCACTCTTTTGACTGGTTTAACACTAGTTTTAATTCTTGAGGATGAGATTGCATGTCTTTGGAAATAAGTTATATTGAAGAAATTCTTCCTTTTAGGAAAGATTTTCAAGGAGAACTGATATTGACTTCTGAAAATAAAAATGGGGATGAAGTGAAAGCTATGTACTAGCCATTCAAACTGAGTGTAACTCTCTGATTTAAATCTATACAATTTAATTACAGTAAAGAAAAACATTTATTTCTAACCTCACATAAGCTTAATATGGTCATGATACCAGGCAGCCGTGATGGTCTTCTTGAGAATTTTTCTGATGTTTTAAATGAATGTTTATCACTGAACTATTATTTTTTTCAACTGATCAGTACAGTCAGATTTTTAGAATTTATTAGTTCACCGCTACTTCACATGAAAATAGCTCAATGGTTTCTATATAATAGTTTTTGTTTAAAAGCCATTACCAAGTGTAAATATTCTTTTTGGGGGGCAAAATTTACAAGTAGAGAGATGACAAAAAACATAAATCTTTAAAATGTTTGCATTCGTTCTCTTATTGGATGTACAGCACTTCAAGTAGGTAATATGTATTTGAGTCACCATCCGGCAGCTGCTCATCCATAGTAGATTTAAAAAAAAAAAAAAAAAAAACTATAGCCTGCCAGAAAGTCTTACCTTTTGTTTGTAATTGTCTGGGTATGGCTTCTCCACTGGAACTGAACTGTATGTGCTGTGTGCTGTAGAGGTGTGCAGCTAAAATACGTTTATTCTTAGAAATATTTTTAAAATATTTTAAAATGTTTTCCTTTGCAGAATCAGACACAAGTTTGGCAGAAGGAAGTGTCAGCTGCTTAGATGAAAGTCTTGGACATAACAGCAACATGGGCAGTGATTCAGGCACCATGGGAAGTGATTCAGGTACTGCCTAACTGTTGTGTAAACCTTAAAAAGTGTGAAATAAGACACCATATAGTGGAATGCATGGGGGCTGTTCATACCCTCCCTAATGTATTTATGCAATTAAAGCAATTCTTTTCTGCACGGAGTCGTTTTGGAATTTTGCCATTTACTTTCTTTAAAAGTGCAACTTACAAAAGTCTTAGAACCAAACTCTAATTTTCATCCATTACATATCTTTTTGGACTTGTATGTCCCACATTTCCTAAAACCATGTCTTTTTAGTTATTTGGACCACACTTAAACTCTGGATGCAGTTGGTACACTTAACTATCTCCAAATGCTACTTTTTATCAGAATTTATTTTAAATAAAAAAGTAATGCTATAAATAAAAGAAAGGGCTAGAGATAACAAGGTAAGACCTCTCTTTAGAAGAGCTGGAAATTACATTCAATTCAGAGTCCCAGTCTGTATACATAGCCTTTAAATAGGAGTAGAGCTTATAAAATATTTCATTCACTAAATGAAACTTTCAGCAGATTATTTCCAAATGACCCACCATGTTGGTTGTTAATCACACCAACAATAAGTGAGTGCACCTCTACTCAACACCCACACCTTCATCAGTACCTTGTCTTATCAGATTTCCTACTTGTCAGTTTGGTAGGATCACATTATTTCTTTCTATTTCTTGAATGTGTATTCTGTGATTACTGTTGAGCTGAATTGTTATCATCTCTTAAGTGTGAGTGATGGGTTATGGCCTATCTTTTATACACAGCTCTATATTTGCCCATATGCTTTAAGTAATTCTTAATTATAGCTAATATATAACAAACAAAAATGCTTTGTAGTGTGTTCAGATATAAAAGCAGGGGAAAATTGACAAATTAAGAAACAAATCATTTTATTCTTTATTTGTGACTGACTTGTTTTCACTTTAAAAAATTCTATAATTCAGATCATCCTGCACCTTTAGAATGACAGAAATATAAACAAACAAGAGGCCTAAGAGGGAAAAATAGTTTACATAGACATGGTCATCTGCTAAAAATGTTCTACACTGGATTGGATCACTGCTTCTTTTTATATAGTTTTTTTTCTCATAATCACAGTCTTGAATCACTTAGAATAAGGTGTAGTAGTTTGAGGAAAGCCAATTCACCAAACATCAGTCATAACTTTAATTGTAATTTATAAGGCTTAATCATTTTATAATCAATTCAATCTGTGTTCATTAAGTTCTTGCCATGTGCTTATTTGTATAGATTGTATTTGTTTTTCTATCATCATGAAATTGTTAAATTTAATAATTAACATTTATACTACATTTTATTGATTCTCGATCTCAAAATATACTCTAGGTAATATTTAACATCTCTCTGGATTGTTTTAAGCTTCTGGACTTCATCCTAATTTTTATTTGTCTAAGTAAGGGCTTTTCAACTATATTTATTCATTCAATAAATATTTAAAGCATACACTCTATGTGCAAAGCATCTTGCCTATTTAGAGCTGCTAGCTAATGTATTTGCTGATTTCTAGCCTTCACTGTGGCATGAAAGACGTGATAAATCCAAATACAACTACTTTTGGAAAGCAAATACATTTTCAAAGACAAATACCTCTGTAAGACAAACATGTTCTCAAGGGACATTATTGAAATTTTGATGGGTCAGTGTCTAAAAACAAATAATTGCTTTGCCTAGTGGGTAGTAAAATTCTGAAATAATAAAAATATTAAATTCCTTACCCACAGGTGCATGCTATAGTTGAAATAACAGTCAATTTGATAAAACACTTTTGTAAATGTATGACATATCAAATGCATAATGAGCCATTAAAAAGTATTAAAGTGTTTTACTATTATGTTTTAACCTTTGAGGTTTACATAAAAAATATCCTATTTGATATGTCCTTCATCTTTCTTCAGAAATCGTATAGTACACCATAAGACCATAGAAATAAACCAACATGACCACATTATGCTCTCTGTGGAGTATTATACCAGAGCAAGGTATAATTACTGGTTCTTTTAAAGTTCAACCATTCTAATTGTATTAAGAAACATGTTTCCCATTACCCATTTTCAGAGAGAGATACTGCTTCTCAAAGAGTGGCAATGTTTGTGTCAACACACATTGGCCTGATATGTAGAAAGTGTTTCCTTACTATTTTGAGGTAATGCCTATTAATATCTGTCCAAGTGGAATGGTGTATTTTTCTGTGGTTACATACCATAGGTAAAGGAATACTTTGTCGATTTCAAACACATGCGGTGACAGACCTTTTCTCTCCAAGAATAACTCAGCTGTCAAAATCAATGTGAGAATGAAATTTGCCACATGGTGTAGTTCCAATAGAATATTATTATTTAAACCCTATTTGATTTCATTTTTTTGACCATTTCTGTAGTGTAATATGCTTTAAGGTCTTCAATCAGTGTTTTACAATGTAATTCAAAGCCTGTGTGTGTTTTAAGGACTATTTTCATTATTGTGTTTAATTTATTATGCTGTTCAGAGAGGCAAAAATAAACAAACAAGCAAAAATCCAAACTTCTTTTTTTATAAAGGAAATTGGCTCCTGGCTCACTGATATCAGCCCAGTTTTCTCCTTCTGGTTACAGGGAAGAGAAACTCTTTTTTCATTATGTGGATAAATTCTCCCTTCCTCTGTCAGATGATGTGATAAGAAACCAGGCTGAATATTTAACACGCATCCAGCTCTTTTTCTTTGGATGCTGTTCTCACACTGAATCCAACTCTATTTTTTTCCTTATCCACTGTGTACTTCTCTCTTAAACTTGAGGATGCCCATCATGTCTCCTAGTCTTGATTCAAAAATGTGGAAGATTGTGGAGGTATCTAGCTGACCAGATACCTTAGTGCAGCGGCACAGTTCACGAGACTGAAGTTCTTGAAACAATGACTATAAGTTGGCAGTGCATGACAGATAATAGGTGCTCAGTAAATATTTACTGTGAATGAATTTGTAGTGCACAAGCAGTTAATTATCAGTACAACTTCATTCTGGAGTTTGATTTTGGAGTTACACTGTGAACCCAGTAGACCTTTTAACATTTTACCTCTTCTTAAATTTATTAGTACAGTAAATATCTAGTATGGGATAAGTGATATTGATACCTACTATTTGGACTTGGTTTTAAATTCCTGGAATAGACACTTAGAACATTAGTATATGTTTCTCTTTTTAATTATGTCACTCAAGGATATAATAGTTTGAAAGATAAAAGGGGAAATAATTATTAAAAAGCAAAGCCATTATGAGGAAGACAAAATTTTATTGCTTTTAAAAATCTATGCAGAAATTTCCAGAGGGAAAATCAACAAAGAGAATGCACTGATATCTTCTAACAAATTTCTTATATCAAATGACAATTTAGCAAGTTTAGACTCCTGGATCTTGGTTTAAACATCTTTGAAAATACATCTTCCTTTATAAACTCATAAATATTTTAGGTTGTTTTTGGAATGTTACATGATATATGCTCATAATGGAGGTGAAATATTAGGATTTAGATTACCTATAAAACCACTTAGTAGAGAAGTAATGTTCTTAAATAAATCCAAATTTTACCTAAACAAAATGAACTGTTATAAGTACTACAGAGTTCAAAACAAACACAGATAGAATACTTGTAAATACTTGCGTTTTAGGGCTAGGGATTTAGCTCAGCAGCACAGCGCCTGCCTGACAAGCGCGAGGTTGTGAGTTCGATTCCCAGTAAAGGAAAAGACAAAAGAACAAACAAAAAAATGTGCATTTTAAATGCTGATGATCTTATATGAGTTTTTCATGACAGTCATATTAAATTAAGTGAATCAGATGATCTGCAAATAACTTAATGCATTGCATCTGTCTTTACGCATCCATATAGAAAGCAAATTTCCTGCCAGGTGAGTGGATGATTCTTGCTAAGTGGTATTTGGTGTGAATTTTCCTGTCTATTCAAATAGCGCTGTTACAGCAAGTTACAGCTCACTCACGCAGAATCATTCAGTTGGTGAGATGAAGCCATCAGCAAGATTTTAGAAGTTAATGGGATTATATTAGTTTAGCTTTAGTGCAATCATTGAAAAGAGAAAGAGCATGCTGGTAAGAACTCTCACCTCACTTTTTCTGGTGATTATATAAAACATACAATTGAATTTGAAATTAGTATATTTATTTTGTAAGCTTTTAAACTATACATTTTTAGATCTTTCTCCTTGGCAAGCAGATAAACGTGGTTACTTCTAGATAAAATATAGTTGTCAAGATATGTTATAATAATCTTATTCTTATATTCCTAAAATTAATATGTTAGGCCTACTTTATCATTACTATTGATTTATAAAAATCTGTTATTTGTAAATATTTTTAATATTTTGCTTTAGATTTCAGGAACATTATTAATATGCAGAGAAATACAAATAAGGAAGTTACAGAGATCACAAATCAAAACTAATTGGCACAATTAACCATAATTTAGCTCCAAGCAATAAAATTACTTTTACCATCAAGTGAAAACCTAGCAATTAAAGGGTAGCATGGGAAGACTTTTTCTCCTACTCTCTGGATACTGCATTGTACAATCCGACTTCCTCAAGAGGGAAAGAGCACTACACACACACAGGGACCCAGCTGGTACGCTGCAGGTTCCTCATCGACACACTCACCCAACGGCTGATCAAAATACTTTTTGTTCTAAACACGTACTTTTTTCTCATCATTGTGTCCTAGATAATACAAAATAACAACTATTTACATAGCATTTACATTGCATTATAAGTAATCTAAAAATTATTTGAAGGGTATGGGGGAATGTGGTGAAATTTTGATATCCACAGGAGTTTTTGAATCAGTCCTCCACAGATATAAGGACTCTATGTATATATATGCTTTTTTTGGCATTTAGTCATCAGACAAATTTTTAACCATTGAAAGAGCCAATATCCGCTGAATATCTTCTTAGTAGTAAAAGATAAAAGTGATACAGATCCAGGAGGACTAATGAATCCTTCTGTCCTCGTTCCTCTTGATTTTTTAGGTTCAAGGGCTAAGAAAAACAAGTAAGGCATAATGGCTAACAACGGAAAGAAGTCTGATGCATTAACAACGATCACTGTCAGTCTTTCACCAGAGCATTTTCTGTAAATGCCTCTGGATTTGCCCACTCTCCGAAAACACATCCCTAGCTCTTTCACTCTCGGGCCTCCGTACTGTTAACTCACTCCCTTTGCAGCCCCAACCCTTGCTCCACTTTGGGTTATAACCTGCAAGTGCAGAGGAGATGCTGATTTATGGGTACAGAAAACAAAAAGGGTTGGTTTGAAAAAGGAGCCTAAGCCACAGAGGCCTATGTTCAATGACAGGCTTCCTAGCCTTCGTTATGTTACTATCCTTTTTTTATTCTTGCCCTTTCTAACTTCCTGCAGATGAAGAGGATGTGGCGAAAAGAGCATCTCCTGAGCCAGAACTGAAGCTCAGGTCTTACCAAATGGAAGTTGCCCAGCCAGCCGTGGAAGGGAAGAATGTCATCATATGCCTCCCCACAGGCAGTGGGAAAACCAGAGTGGCCGTTTACATTACCAAGGACCACTTGGATAAGAAGAAGCAAGCATCTGAGCCTGGAAAAGTCATAGTGCTTGTCAATAAGGTACTCAAGCAACACGCATGTCACATCACTTCTTCATTTTCCTTTTATTATTCTAAAGCTTTTCTGTAATAACATTTGTAGCTGTATAACATGGAGATTTAATTTAATTAGGCATAATGTCAAAATAAGCTATTTATTTTACTTTTTGAAACCTTTTTTTTTTTTTTTTGGTACTGGGAATCCCACTCAAGACCTTGCACTTGCCAGGCAGTATTTCTTTTACTTTTAAACTTAGCTTTATAGATATGACTAGTAAAGGATTAGCCTTAAAATGGAATTCTTTCTATAAAGCCAGAACATTAAATTCATGTAGGTATAGCCTATATATAACTATTGTATTTACCAAAGTATACTTCAAGATCAACTGTTTAAAGTCATCATTACATATAAACATGAGTGATCTGAAAATATCTCTGAAATCTAGATCAAATACTATCTTTTAGAGTCTCCTTAAAAATTGACACTTACTCAAAGATGGCCAGACCTCTTCATCCAGACTATATTATGATGTAGTTTGAAGTAATAAAAAGTAAGTTAAATAAATATTTAGTTTATTTATATCAAGGTAAATATATAAGTACTATTCAAAGATTATACGTACTATATACATGTAACATTAAAGGCAACTGAAGTTTTTCTTTGATAATTCGTATCTTGTATCTGAACGTTTCTTCATTATAAAACAAAACCTAGCTATTTGAGCTTTATTTACACAAATGAGAATTTATTAATTTATAAATTTATAGATCAATAATATTGTTCTTCCATTTTATGGAATAAATTTAAGTATACTATTCACAAGCAGGAGTAGTCTTTTTTCTCCTCTTATGTTTTCATTTGCATAAAATATAGCAAGACTATAAAACTTCCCATTTTTTAGATTTCTGTTATAACAAAACTTTTAACTCCAACCTGCTTTCCAATACTAAGGAATACACTCAGAATCCATACTTTGAGTAAGTTCTGTCATGTAATCCCAAATGCATTTTGTGTATACCTGCTAAGCCGAAGCAGCTGTCTTTTACACACTTACCTCCACTTTTAGAACACTTTTATTTATTTACTTATTTTGCTGATAATGATTATTCATTAGACTGTGTTTATCCATAGTTTTTCACATATTCCCTTTACAAATGATAGTACCTTTTAAAGTAAAATAATTTAGAATCCTATTTTGACCTCCCAGTTTAGTTCTGACAAGTTATTTACCTTAGTTGATTCATCATAAATAATCATCAAAATAATACCTATCATGTTCTGAAGTTCAAATTAGATTGTATATATGTGTAGGGAAAAAAAATCTACTAATGGACTCAAAAATATTAACTCTTTCTTCCATCCTTTCACTTCACCTTTATAACTAAGGAGATAAACACTCTAGCCAGAATACTTCTACTCAGAAGTTCCAGGTGTAGAGAAAAGAACAAAGTTAATTGGATTCAAAGCTACTTCAGTTAATATTTTTATACCATTTGATCGGTTTGTCATTTTCTCAAGTTCAGTCTCACCATACCTCTCAAAGGGCATTTTTCCCGATTATCCATTTTTTAGTTCTACAACTTCCTCTAAACCACACAGACCCACAGGGTAGGAGTTATTTTTCATTCATTTCCTTCTGTTGTTTTCCTTATCTGTTATTTTCTTATCAGAGCTGGAAGCATCCTTCGAGATCCAGTTTTCTTCCTTTGCAGAATGGTTATCTCACTCCTGGGTAACTTCCAGATATCAAGGCAATCTCTTTCCTAAAAAGACAGATCTAGCCCTTTGCTGAACAACTGATACTGTTAGAAAGTCACACACATATTAAACCAATTTTGTTTCTCTGAAACCCATAGCCATTGGTTATAATTCTTTCCTCTGTGATTATCTAGAGTGAATCCTCATGCTCCTGCCTCTTAGTAGCGCTTCACAAAGAATATCTTGTGAGTCCTGTGTTATTTTTCTTTCCTGCCCCCTGAGGTACGTGTGTACAGTTCTTTCAGTTGTACATATGGCATGGTTTCCAGATGCCTCCATTCTAAGTTCTCCTGCTCATTAAGTCATTTATCTAGAACCTTTTTAAAACACAGTGTCCAGAGAAAGAAAATGCTACAGACATAGTCATACCATAACAGAGTATATGAGAGATGAGATTCCACCCTTACTCTGCCCATGACTGGCTTGTCCTTGGCAACCACAAACTCGTCTGCACCTTGCTGTACTCAAAATCTTAAGTTTCTGTTCACTTGAAATCTGTGAAGCTACAGTTCTCTTATTTTTGTGACATTCATTTTAAGCTTAAATGCAAATACTTAGGTTTACCTTTTGAAACTATTCATTTTGTTTGATCATTTCAGGCCCTGTGTTTTTGTGTGTGTCTAATGTCCCTCCCTTTCCATAAGATCCCCTTCTCTCGATGCTGTATTCTACTCAGAAATCTCTCATCCCATCAGATATAGGTGATTCTTGTGTATAGGTATGTTCAAGTACTAATGTATCTCTCTTATTCATGGCACTACCGTGTGAACATGTGAGGATATAACGCTAATCCCTGATGTGTTTCCCTATTGTTTTCTCCTCAGACTTCCTGGGAATCTCTGCACCACTTCTACCATTTGTTCCATAATTGTTAACTGCCTCATATCTTTTAATTTTAAAATAATTTCAGCTGTCTTTTTAATTGGGTGAAGAGATCTCCAGGCCAGTAACTCAACATAACTTGGATTTTATATTTAAGCCCAATATCCCAAGATACTATAACCTTTGGTCTAGAAAAGAGAAATCTCGTTCCTTAATATGATTTACTTTCATCACCTCTCCCCTTTCCAGAGTTCCCATTTTCAAATGCAGGGAAAAATGAAAACGCCACCTGTACTCCCAGACTTTACATTTCCTATCCAGGGCTTCCACATCACAAGAGACAAATCCCAGGTTCCTTCAGATGCTATGTGCAGCCCCATATGATTCAGCAGAAGCAGGTAGCAGTTGGGTTTCATTAGTCTTGGCAAACACTCAGTCACAGCTCAGGAAAAGGCTCCAAGGAGACCACACACCTCCCGATTTGCCATGTCAGCCTTGCATCTGGCTTGCTCTGTGTGTTCCAGTAGGAAGTCAGTGGCACTATCAAGATCCCCAACCATTGGGGACTGCCAAGATCCCCAACAGTATCTCCCCCTACCTCCAGTCATAACTTCTTTTTGTTCTCTGAATGAGAGAACGCTGCTTCCCTTTGGAAGGTTCAGAATCAACTTTTATGGGGAAACCTTCATGTTGCTATCTAACTGCATGGTACAGAAATGATTAGTGACATCATTCAGCATAAGTTTACTGAAAAATAAATCAAATGCAGATCCTATTCCCAAGGAAACTATAAATTAGAAAGAAAATGATAGGCTTATGTTTGTGATATAATAATTTTTTGTACTTGTAAAGCGTTACTGTATATATATTATCTCATTAAGTCTGCATATCCCATTTTTCCCATCAGAAAGTTGAGCATCCAAAATTTTACTTGACCTCTTAAGGACCACGCAGTGAATTAGAAGCAGAGATGAGATCTGAGGCCTTCTCTACTGAAGTCTCCTGGTCTTCTTTTTCTACCATCTTCTACAGCTAGAAAGCAAACATAGGTGGCATAGCAGAGAAACTTTGGGAGTGCTAGCAATGTGTTCACTTCTACTTCATTTAATTTTCACAACCGTGTAATAGATAAACCTTCATGACTATTTTTAATGAAAAAATAAAGAGGTCTAAAGTGGTCCAAACCTTGTCAAGGTCAGCCACATGCAAGTGACTTCAGTGACCCTTTTCAGAGCTCTCTTCCTCCTGGAGAATGCTCTACCTTTTCCCACAAACTGATTTCCTACTCTGTGTCTCAGAGGGTTTTTTGTTTCTTTCTTTCTTGCCCTGACTCCCTTCTTAGATCATTCCTTATGTTTTCCACAGTAGAAAGAGTATTTGTAGAAAAATCAACCAGGAGTGGCTCTGTGGAAAAGAATGAAAAGCTGTAGCACTCTAAATTTAAAACCTTAATGATCACATGGCACTTCATTAAGTAAAGGCTTCAAGGCTCTGCCCTTAGAATTAATCCCTAGGTTCAGTAGTTTTGAGTGGGTCTCCAGCGTCTGTGCTTCCCAAATCTCTTAAGTGATTTTGCAGCAGGTAAATCAGAAAGACTGTCCTTTGAAAAACAACACTAAGTGACAGTTTTTCTCATTGCGCTTTCCACCGTATGGTAATGTTCTCTTGCTCATCAACCTTAATTATTGATCTTGAGTCCACTGGACCTCTTGGGATTATGGATTCCATGTTACCTCTTTCCTCTCTGTCCTTCTCTCTACATCCATTCTTAGAAGCCTCCGTCAACCCTACCAAATAATAATGCAAAGTATATTCTCCATATATAGCCATCCTCAGCCAAGGGGGCTGTGCAACCCTTACTTAACACATAAGTGAGGCTCACCTCCAATAAAAAGGTGAAGAGCAGATATTGTGCAGACTGGTGGCAATATGCCCATTGATTACCTTGTCGGTTAATCACCCTAAGAGGGACAAAATGTGAATTGGTTGAGGTTTGCCCTTGAAACTCATCCTGCCAACTCTCTATTTGCTGTGCTGTATTCCTCTGGGCTTTCATTGGGTAAATCCTATTAGATCCTATTAGGATCCTCAGGATGGCCAGGGTCATCCCTGCTCCCGCAATCTAGGAGGTATTTGGACTGGTAGTAAGGAGTGACACTGAAGCATCAATCCAGCCACCTCGTCCAACATTACAACACACAGTCAACTGAAAAGGGTGAAAGCTTCCATTTCTTTGCCACATCCATCTACCATTTTGTTTTTGCTCAGCCACCGAAGCTATTGCAGCCCTTTGTTCCTTTCCTCCCCATCCATCGTCCCAGTCAATGTCTTCACTCTTCACTCCTGGTTCCCTGCTGTTTCCGATTCCTTAGGCATGCTGCCTTTGCTTGATCTGAAAACAAACAACTGGGTGGGTCACCGCTACAGTTCAGCTCATAAGCATCCTGTGAACTGTTTTGTATACTACTGCATGATGTTCACAGCTTGGCCTGCCTTGCTCCACAAATGAAAAGTATATTCCATATCCAACTGGAGCATTAGTCCCAATTTAACTCTTGACTGAAGTATTTAACTCTACCAGAATCAACTTCCCTCTAAACCCTTCCTTTGAGCAGTGAGTAGTTTCTTCCTCTTTGCTATCACTTTGTATGTTTTTTCCTGAGAGAATTATTACATTGTGTTATAATAAGGTGTTACTTTTATTTAGTCTTGATATATGTGGTCAGCTAGACTGACTGGCTAAGGCCCCAAACATATCTTAAACACTTCTGTGCTCCAGGTACAATGTCCACACCAAACAAATGAACAGTAAATTCCTCTTGATGAATACAAGGGGGGGTGAAGAGGTTTTCACATCCAATTAACTGATAATTTAAACACTTCTTCTAATGTTTCACACATTGTAGCCTTTGAACAATACTCTTTTTCCTCTGACTTTACTTTCTCTCTCCCTTTTTAATCTTCTTGTCTTTAAGGTGATGTTAGTGGAACAGCTCTTCGACAAAGAGTTCAAACCATTTTTGAAGAAATGGTATCGTGTTACTGGACTAAGTGGTGATACTCAACTGAAAATATCATTTCCAGAAGTTGTCAAATCCTATGATGTTATTATCAGTACAGCTCAAATCCTTGAAAACTCCCTCTTAAATTCAGAAAGTGGAGAAGATGCTGGTGTCCAGCTGTCGGGTTGGTTGAAATTATTTTTTAGAAAAAACACTTAACAATATTATTTTCAGTAATAGCAGCTGTATTAGTTGAATCATTTTTAAATGCTAATGAAAATTAACCTTGGTTTAGATTTTCTTCCATTCTTTAAGGTTTCGGTAAAACTCTGTTTCTTAGGAGAAACAGGCAAACAAAAAAGAAAGTCAGGCATGGTGGCACATGCCTATAATCCTAGACCTCTGGGAGGCTGAGGCAGGAGGAGAAAACCAAGAGAATCCCAGTGTGGGCAACTTAGTGACTTAGAAAACTCTCTCAAAATTTAAAAATTAAAAATAAAGTCTGACAATATAGCTCAGTGCAAAGACTTTGGATTCAATCCCCAATAGTACACACACTCACACACACACACACACACACACACACACACACTCAACAAGGCCTCTTTGTTCTGCATAAGAATACTGTTACTAAGTCATGCACAGGAGAAGGAAAAGCGGGCCTGGTAGAACATGGCTGCAATCCCAGCACTCAGGAGGCTGAGGCAGGAGAATCACTGCAAGTTTGAGACCAACCTGGGCTACAAAGTGAGCTCCGGGTCAACCTGAACTGCACAGGGAGACCCTGTCTCAAAAAGACAAAAATAGATAAATAAACAAATAAATAAATAAAGCACTCATTGGATTCTTCATTTACTACTGAAATATCTTCCAAATATTTTTATTTGCCAGTGGGTCGTGTTAGAACTGCCCTTTTCTCCACAGAGTATGAATACAGTCCTTCTATTTTCTGTGGGTTGAGAAGGTAGGGGAAAGGCAAGGACAGAGTAAAGATAAGTACAATAATTAAAAGCGGTATTAATACAAGATAAAATTATTCCTCTTTAAGTAGAAAAATGCAGAAAATACAGTTTCCATCTGATATGATCAAAATAAAATTTACCAACCCCAAGTCCAATATTTTATTAAAGAACAAAAGTATAACCCTTGGTAGTTTTTGGAATACAGCAGGGTGCGAATTTCACTCCTTAGTACCTATGCACTTTCTGGATATCATCTGTTAAACAGGGATAACATCCAACAGGGACACTGTCATGATTAGTGTGCTGAACTTGATATGTGCAGGTGCCTTGTACAGTTAGATTTTTTTCTGCAGACTGGGCAGGAGGGTGTGCCAGTAGGCTGGCCAAGAAAATTTCTCCATGGCAATTCAATTCATTAAAGATACTTCTGTCATTGTAGCTTGCTGTATGGGAAACTAAACCACTCGATTTTTCTTTCCAGATTTTTCCCTCGTTATCATTGATGAATGTCATCACACCAACAAAGAAGCCGTCTATAACAACATCATGAGGCGTTATTTGAAACAGATGTTGAAAAACAAGAGACTTAAGAAAGAAAACAAACCAGTGATTCCCCTGCCTCAGATACTAGGTCTAACAGCTTCACCTGGTGTTGGGAGCGCCACAAACCAAGCCAAAGCTGTAGAACACATTTTAAAAGTAAGTCTTGGGCTGGGGAGATAGCTCAGCAGCACAGCCCCTACCTGGCAAGCGCGAGGTCCTCAGTTTGATTCCTCATACCAAAAAAAAAAAAAAAAAGAAGAAGTAAGTCATGCCAGGTATGGTGGCACACACCTGTATTCCTAGCAGTCTAGGAGACTGAGGCAGGATGATCACAAGTGTGTCCCAACTTCGGCAACTCAGAGAGTCAAGAGAACTGTCTTGAAAGACAGAAATTTAAAAAGGACTGGGGGTGTAGCTCAGTGTGAAAGCCCTAAATTCAATCCCTTTTTTACAGGGGAAAAAAATCATTAACATGTGCTTCTGTTGATCTCAAGTATTAAATGAATCATGGTAGTCCAAAAGTATGTTGACACCCTTAGAATTTTTAAGCCCCTCTAAGTTGAATTCAGTAAAATTCATTAGCAGAAAAAAACATTCAGAGGAGTAATTACTGGATCCGAAATGTCATATATTACTGAGATTAAGGATTAACTCTGATCTACCGTCTGCAAGTGCTAAGTGTGCTTCCAGCTTTGTCCTGTCTTCTTTGTGTGTGGAAAAGCCTGGTAATACAGTCTGAGGATATCCAGTTGACCCTCAATATGCCTGTGTAATGCGATTGTCTCTTAACCGTTCTCTGTCAATTTCTATAAATTGCTGTGCTTTTTCCTTTCTCATTTTCAGCTGCAAAATGGAAATGAAGGCATGAAAAGAAAAATACTTCTTTTCTAGAGCTTCCCACTAACTGGATCTAGAAGTTCTTTTTACTCTATCAGGATAAATATTAGTTAATCAGATCTTCAATAAAGCAATACTAAAATGCTTTATTTATCGAGTACATTATGTATCACTTACATGAAATTTCACACCACATATATATGCCGAAAATTACATACTACATACTTCTTACTCAAAAAGTCTACACTGAATCAGTTATAAGAGATAGAATTTCAGTATTTAAAAGTGTCTCTTTTCCAGATTTGTGCCAATCTTGATGCGTCTACCATTAAAACAGTGAAAGACTATTATGACCAACTCAAAGAGCAAATCAAGGAGCCCTGTAAGAAGTTTGTGATTGCAGATGACACGAGAGAAGTAAGTGTTTTCAGCCTACTTGGTTGGCAGTGCCACATTCAGTTGAAGGACAGCAAGGCAAATTTGTATTGTCCAACTAAATAATGCCATTTCATAAGTTTTGCAAACATGTTATACAGTTTTATATGAGTAATTTTCAAAATTGATCTTGGATAGTAAAGCAATACCGTCTTCTCTACCATCCTTCTTTGCATTTTCTTGTTTGTATAGAAAGTAGCTCAGTATTAATTCACTACATATGAGCAACTTGGAGGGGTCAGGTAAGGTAAACTGGAGAGATTATGACAGTTGATTTTATCCTCAGGTTTGCTCTCTTAATGAATTCCAGTTTTGATTTTCTGACATCCCACAGAGGCGTTTTGTTACTACCAGATTACAGCTGGTAATTTCATTGGAAATCCTACCTCACTTGCATTTTGCATATTTACCTTCTTGGGAAAGCACTGCCATAACAAAGAAATGAAACTTTAACGGTGCTTTCTGGTGAATATTTTTACTGATTATAAAAATGAACTGAAAGTCAGTTTGGACATTATGGCCAACAGGTTATGCCACTGATTTCTTCTGGAAAATTGAAAATGCTTGATAAATTTCAGTTATCTGAATGAATAATAACTTTAATACTACTTAAGATATACCTCACAAAGATACTGGGATTAAGCGATGTACATGCAGTAAATAATACTGTGCTTAGAAATATCACATGTGTTAAGCCAGTATTAGTGACCAACTTTCATAGATAATTTTTTGAATTTTGAAAAAGAGTACTAGCAGAACTGTACTGGTATAATTGAATATACTTTATTCACTTTCAGTCTTTTATTACTCATCTAGTTTTAGTTGGTAAATTTAAATGCATGTTTCTGCTTAGAATCATTAAAAATATTTCTCAGGATATTTTTAAAAAGAATTTGCCATCTTCTCAAGTTAAACTTTGAAACTCTTTCCATGGAACTGTAACACCCACAGAGAAAAGTATAAATTCACCTACTTAAACAGATTTCTGAATTTTCATAAACTTCACACGTGTATGCAAACAAAATCGGGACCAAGAGACGGTACACTGCCAGCTCCTTCGTTTCCCTCACAATTGCCGTGCTGCAGAAAGAACTAATGTCTGATTTCTAGCTGTCGATGGGTTTAGACTGACTTGAAGTGTTATATAAATATAATCAGATACACTCTTACTTATGTGGTTTTTCAAACTATCTCAACCTTTTATTTTGATTCAAAGAATACTGAAACCAGTTCTTCAAAGAAGAATGTTTCTTAACTTAGGTAAACATTCTAATTAACTATGACATTAACACAATAGGCGTTTTTAAGTTACATTTCACACTGAGGGTTTATAATATTCATTTAGTTTTGTAAAACACTTAAATTAGAAATTCCAGCAGAAGGGCATGTTAGTGTGGGTGTGGCTTGGAGAGGCAAACAAAGAAGCTGGCAGAAGTAAATGTTATGTGTAAAGAAGAGGCCAGAGGTTGTCCTGTTTACTTTACCTAAACAAATATTCCAAATCAGTTATTATGACGTGCAAGTCGTTTTAACAAATATAGTATTCATTCACAATATCACTAGGTAAGAATAAGTATATAATTTATTTTTAGGATCTTTTTAAAGACAAACTGCTAGAAATAATGTCAAGCATTCAAACTTACTGCCAACTGAGTTCGATGTCAGAGTTTGGAACTCAAAATTATGAGCAATGGACCATTCAAATGGAAAAAAAGGGTAAGTCAGCTTTTGATCAGTTTATCCCATATTTATACCAAGATTTTAGGTGACTATATCACATACTCACAACCAAACTGAAAGCAAATGGAATTTCTGTGTTTTGTATAGGACATGCATAAACATGTTTTAATTCTTTATCTAAAGAAAGATGTCCCAAGTCATCCAATATGCTCTTTCATTTATTGTATATTTGAAATATTAGCTAAGTATTAACAGCTCTGTTAATGGACTGTCTCCAAAGGCACATAATGTGTAATATATATAATATATCTCCAAAGCACATAATACATAATATACAATAACATGCATTGCATATCATTCCTCCGCAGATCTGAAATGTGTTTTTTCAATGCATTGCTCAAACAGCAAGTCTAAGAGTCAGAAAACCTGGCCCCTCTTAGAATTCATGATGCACTTTGATCCTTAACTTTATCATTTGAAAACCAGGGTGAACTCAGTTTTGAAGTCATAATAGATTATCCACAATTGTAGGCTTTGTGTACGCACTATTTCACTTGCATATTGTATTCTTTCTTAGCTGCTAGAGAAGGAGATCGAAAAGTCCGTGTCTGTGCAGAACATTTGAGGAAGTATAATGAAGCCCTACAGATTAATGACACAATCCGAATGATTGATGCCTATAATCACCTTGAAACTTTCTATCACGATGAGAGGGCAAAGAAGTCTGCAGCTCTGCAAGACGACAGCGATGAGAATGGTAGCGATGATGACTGTGATGCTGCTAGAGATCAGGACGATGTAAAGAGACTGGAGAAACAAGATGAGACAGATAAATTTCTCATGACTTTATTTTTTGGTAAGATCAGAGATCACATATTGAGTGATCTCATGAATTTAACTCTAACATGAACCTACTTATGCCTCCTATAAGCATTTCCAAACACCTGCATAAAAATTTATTTTGATTTTTGTTTTTTCCAGTATGGGAAATCGAACTCACGACCTTGCACTTGCCAGGCAGGCGCTGTGCAGCTGAGCTAAACTCCCAGCCCCTTAAAAATTTATTTTGAAAGAAATCCCTTCAGGTTGTGGCTGCTTGTAATTGATGTGATCAGATTATTAGTTGTATGATTATAGTTAATCATTTGATTATCTAGTTTTCTCATCAGGACAAATTAATTTATTAGTAAGAGCAGCCTGGTTATTAGATATTACACAAAACCAAGGACAGATGAATCATAACTCAGTGTATCACTACATAAAACCTTCCAATGGAATTATTTGTACAGTTTACTAATTTATGCTAATTTTATGAATTTTTAAATATTACTTATTCTTTAAATTAAAAATAGAAATTGTGTGTACTTATGATGTAAAACATGATGTTTTGACATGTGTATATATGTATTTCGATATATATAGTGGAGTGACTAAATCAAGCTTATTAACATTAATACATATAATTCTTTCTTAAAGGAAACAAAAAAAAGTTGAAAAAACTGGCTGATAACCCAGAGCATGAAAATGAAAAGCTGACCAAATTAAGGAACACTATACTGGAACAATATACAAGGACCGAGAAACCTACACGTGGAATAATTTTTACAAAAACTCGACAAAGTGCATATGCACTTTCCCAGTGGATTACGGAAAATGAAAAATTTGCAGAGGTTGGCGTTAAAGCCCATCATCTGATCGGAGCTGGACACAGCAGTGAGTTCAAGCCTATGACACAGGTGTGAACATCTCCTTGCACTTCTTTTCTTATGCGATTTTCACTCTTACAAAATTATTTGTAATGTTTTTCATTGGTTCTCTCATCAGCTGCAACTGTATTTACAGAATAAAACACTTATTCTTGGAGGAAAATTTAACGCAAACTAGTCTATGGTATTTGATTCTCTAAACATAGTGTTAGCAGTTGATTTTTTTCCACATATTTGGAAGGAACTTTCTAAGTTGAGTTTCTTTTGCAAAAATGTGACACTTAAAACAATGTAGAGAAATGATTACAATATGAAATCAGATAAAAAAATCAAACTTTCATGAACATATGCGCTTTATAGTTAGAATTATACAAAAATACACTTGCATAGCATTAAAACTATAAGAGTAATATTAAAATATTTGATGTGTTAGAGATTTGGGGTTTTGGAAAATTTTCTGTTTTTGGTTAACTTTTTATTGTTTATTTCACTATACTACTTATTGTGTGAATAGTAAAAAACTAAAAGCCCTTGGGAGAGAAAAATGACACTTGTAGACATTAGGAGCATGGGTAAGTCATTGTCTTATTAGAGTAAGACAATGCTTTTCTGAAGGCTAAAGTCATATTGACCCAAAGTCTTCTTGGACAAACGGAATACTTTGTTTTTGTCATGTCATCTCATTCAGATCCAGGGAGCAAAGTAAATCCATTTAATTTGTGTTTAGAAAAAACATTCATGAAATTGTTCACTATAACTCTGAATACATCCCATGCATGTATTTATGTTAGAGGTCCCTCTAAAATTTAGTGCCAGAGAAAACATTATTTTCCTTGGGTAATGCGTTTGTTTCCTCCTAGGGGATGAGAATTGGTGGACTTAATTTCTTTTTCCCTTGTTTTCTCTTGCTTCCAAGAAGCTTGAAGGCAAAACTGAAGTGTAGTCTCACAACCTCTGTGCTAATGCTTACATTTATACATCTATGCTGTTCTACTTTGAGTCCTATTTTTCGGGTTCTATTATATTTTTTAGCCTTAGTGTTATGACTTTTATTGTAAGCAGCCTTAGCTCCTATTTGAGAAGAGGTGAGGTGCAAATGAAAAGCCTATTTTTAAACTAAATTAGTCCTTTTTCACCTCCCACCTGAGAACTACATGCCAAAATACGGAACGGACTCTTGCTCACTTCCTGCGTCCTCACCTTGGAAACCAGAGGAGGCTTACACAGAGGGAGGGGGTTAGGTATCCACTTGGTGAGACTGGAAGCTCTGACACTGTGTCTGAAACTTCATTATTAAAGTTGTTCCTTTATATTAAGGTACAGACACGTTCTGCTGAAATCCAAGAACATGTTAAGTTTCATTGGTGCATATGAGGGCTTAGGGAAAAATCATCAGCCTGTAGAGGAGTCTTCACAGGGTTCTTCAGTAGTTAGGAAATAAAAACTCCATGCCTCTAAGAAAAAAGAGAAGGCGATGGGAGGACACAGGGTAGGTCTGGAAAGTTTTGTTCTGTTTAACGTATAGAAACAAAAGACACTGTAAAATGCTCACCTATTCATTCTATGCAAGGGCCAGAGGGTATATTTTAATATATTTATATTAACTTGCGAATTTTATTTCATTTAAAAATACTTGCTAGCGTTGTGTCTTTAATAATTTATTGTTTCATTTTTTATTTCTATTAGCCTTTGGAGTAGGTCATATATTTATCTTGATCTATTAATATGATATAAGGCATGAGATAGCTCCCCTGCCTTCCAGCTCTCCTGCCAGTGTGGTCTTTCAGAAATATTTCATACAGCTTTTTGCCTGAATGACCCTTAAAGTAACTGAATGCAGCATACAGTATCATTTTGTCTATGACTCAAAACTTAACAACCCGTAAAAGTGCCTCTGCATCATATTCTCAGAATAGTAAAGATTCGGAAGTTAAAGTAGTGGAAGGCATACTCATTACCGTACTCTCTTCTCTGCCGACAGCATCTCATCTTTTCTTCCTCTCAAACCACCACCAATTTATTTCCTTGGCATAAATGTTGGTCTGCCCACCTCCAGACTGGAGGATGGAAATATTTTTGTTATTGTGTAGTAATCCCAGATTGTAAATCAAATGTTGTCTCACCATCGTGTCTTTGTTCAATGCCAAAAAACAGATGGCAGCAAATCCGTGCATGATCTAATCTTTTGATTTACACTGACCAGTTGCAATTTATTATTTCTTCTAATTAGAAGCTTTGAGGGTATTTAACATTGCAAAATTTAATTTAATAAAATGTTTCCACAGAATGAACAAAAAGAAGTCATTAGTAAATTTCGCACTGGAAAAATAAATCTGCTTATCGCTACCACGGTGGCAGAAGAAGGTCTGGATATCAAAGAATGTAACATTATTATCCGTTACAGTCTCGTAACTAACGAGATAGCCATGGTTCAGGTACATGATGATCTTTCTTTTTAATATGCTGAGTTTTATTTTTGTGGGCCTATGTTAATTGCTTTGTCTTAGTAAAATAGCACAAAACATCTTTTTTTATTTTTTATTTTTGGTAATACTGAGGATTGAACCTGGAGCTCCCTCAGTAAGCTATATCAGCTACATCCACAGTACTTTTCATTTTTTATTTTAAGACTGTATCTCACTAAGTTATCCAGGCTGGCCTTGAACTTGTTATATCCCTGCCTCAACCTCCCATAGTACTAGAATTACAGGCATACACCTGGAGTTACAAGCATACTTAGCTTAAAAGCACAGTCTTAAATAAGTGCACAGTACTGCCACTTATATTGCTATTATTTAATTCATACGAAAGCCATATATGTATAATTTTAAACAGCAGTGCCTCTCTTGGTATTACTGTGTCCTGAGGTTTTTCAGGCCCATGCCAGGGGCCCTATTTGTAAAAGTCAGAAGAGGCCTCCTCATTCCTAGGATGTTTGTGAGCCCCCAGTGGGAACAAGAATCTTAATTACACTGTGCACCGATGTCTTATGAAGTAGCACCTCCTTAGGGAGCCCTGCTATTTCTGTATTTCTTTCATTTATTTTTTCAACTTTTCTACATTTTTGAAATTTTTCATGATGAAATGTTGAATGGTGCAGACTTATAGATGGAGTAAATAAATAAAAGAGCAAGATATCAAAGGTTTTTTTCCAATTTTACAGTATGGCTTACCTGCCTGTACTGATAGTACTGCAGTTACTTTTGATGAGTACATATAGGAGTTAGGCTGATTAAGAGTTCTGACATTCTTCCAGTAACGTTAACTAAAGGATTCTTTTTATTAAAAACTGCATCCTCAACTGGAAGGCATATCATAGAAGACTAATATAACCAGGTAACCATCAAATTAGGAAGTAATTTCATTTCAAGAGTTGATTTGTAAATCAGAAGTTTGCCATTCAGAATGCATTTTTCCTTGAGGATATCACAGGTAATAGTTCAGCTCCTGAGCCAGGCCAGAAAAGCTTGTAGTATTCAAAACATATTTGAACATCACTTTTTAAGAGGCCTATAAAAATTTGTCTTTGAACTGAACACAGTTCCATGGAAAGAAGGGCTCAAAATGTAGTGTAGGATGCCAGGAACAGATTTTGGTTCTCACCAGCCCAGAGGCAAAGATCAAAGTTAGCTATTCTCCTCCTCCATCCTCCTTCCAGGTGGCAGGGCGTCCAGTCCCAACCACTGCTCATGGTCCTCATGGTTCGACAGGGTTTCTCTGGGGACAAAAAGGCTGGACCAACTAGCATTATGGTATTCAGGCCTTTGAAGGTTGGGGTGGAGACCTGATCATCATTGCTCTAGAACATTTTTTCTATATTAAAGCACATTTTTAAAAGTCAAGCAATGAGTATCATTTCAGGCCTGAATCAGGGAAGTTAGCAAGGCATAGCCTTTCATGTTTGGATTTTTTCATGCCCTCAGGCCCGAGGTCGAGCCAGAGCTGAGGAGAGCACCTACGTCCTGGTTGCCCACAGTGGTTCTGGAGTTGTTGAACGTGAGACGGTGAACGATTTTCGAGAGAAGATGATGTATAAAGCTATCCATCACGTTCAGAACATGAACCCAGAGGAGTATGCTCAGAAGGTATTGTTTTTGGCCACCTCTTAATTTAGTTTTCATTTTAAAATGATTGCAGTGTTATTACCCTCAATATGTCTGCAGCTATTTCTCCAGTCAGAAATTATAAGTTGAAATATAAGTTGCAGCTTGATGATTTGTTTAGTCCATATTTGCACACAGAAAATTAAGATCTTAAGTGGGCAGGGCATTGTCAGGAAGTCTTTGCTTTTTCTGATGAAACAAACCATAAACTTTGGTAATATAAATTTGGGGTTTCCTTGATCCAAAAAGACTAGCTCCATTTACCCATTCAACCTGACGCAGTAATTTTTGTTCAGTTTTATCTGTCGTACAAACACATTTGTTCTTATTCCAGAAATATCTATAAAATGCCAACTATGTGCCAGGGAATGTTCTAGGTACAGAGAATGTGGAAACAGATAACGTATGATGCTTGGAGAAGAGAAACAATAAATATTTTAAATAGCAGCATATACATCATATAAAAATAAGTGCTAGAGAATTAAGATATAATGATATAAAATAAGTCACCAAATGACTATATTATATTGGGTAGTTGAGGAAGGCCTCTTAGAGGAAGTACCATTGAAGTTGAATCTGAGTGATTTTAATATGTCATCTAGCTTCATCTCAATTTACTACCAGAATTATTTGAATTGTGTGAAGGAATACTGCAAGAATGTATTCTACAATATTTCAGGAAATTCTTCATATGACTGAATTAAAGACTAACTACTATAATAGCAAACAATCCATTTAGAAGAAAATTCACACCCTTGCATATGGGTGTGAATGTTAGTTTCTTAACATTGGAATTGGCTCTACCCTAAATAGAGTCTCAGGAAAGGGCTGCTTTCAAATTGGTGTGCAAAGCTTTAACCAATTCCAAGGTTTCCTGGCCAGGTTTCTACAGAAATTTATATTTTAAAACCCCTTTAAATATAAAACAAACCAAACATTTTGGAGTATCAAACTTTTTTCATTAAATAATGCCACTGGGAAGTTGCTGACTCACATTTAATGTCCTAGGAGAATGAATCAAGTAGGTATTTATTTTAAGGCTGATATTTCAAGACTAGTATTTCAGGTAGACTCCAGGAAACCTGCGAAGTTTCTGAGTCAAATTGCCCCAAACAATTTTTAGAATAAGGCATTGCATTCATCAACTTTTCATGACTACAATGATGTACCTGAGGTAGGCTGCCTTATAAAGAAAAGAGGTCTATTTTGGCTCATGATTCTGTAGGTATGGGTCCAGACAACATGGGAAGGCCTTGGTGAGGGCCCTCACAAGCTAGGTTGCATTACAGCAGGAGTACATGTATATGTCTGTGTCTATGTGGTTGCTTTACTCACCCACCAGAACTCACTCATGGGGGCTCCATGCTAATGATCTAAACTCCTGGAATCACCTCCCAGCAGCTCCACTTCTAAACACTCTGACCAAATTAAGTTTCACACTCTTAATACTGTTACTGTAAGATTTTGGAAATTATACATCTGTACAAATTTGGGGGAACAAATGGTATTCAAATCACAGTAGACCTAGTCCTTTCAGGGACTCCAAAATAGACTACATTTTTAGTTCTCCTCTGGCTAAGAGATTTTCTGTCCTGAGACTACTAGTTAGATAAGCTTAGGAGGAATGACAGTGAAGCAGGGCACATGCCACCAGTACTTTGCTCAAAGACTAGCAAAAACTAATACCATGTTCCAGATGCTAGGAGAATGGCTTCATCCTTCTGATTTGGGAATTTTGTAAAACACATGTTCATGTGACCACTAATAATGGTGAGAGTTGGCATCTAAGGTGAAATGTATTTTCCATGTCATGCACAGACTTTAGATAACTAAAATCTACTTAACAACAACAGATTTCTCAGAGTAATTGAGAATCTTATACATTATCTCCACCATTAACCCAACAACCCTTACATATTTTTACATTTTATTTGGATTTAGGATAATTACAAAAGAATTTCTCTGGCATCATTACCTCATTATTTTTATGTTCTAGACCATTAGCTAAGTGTATAGTTTTGCAACTATTTAAGATGTTTGCAAATAATTCCAGGAGAGTTATTTCAATAGAATTATGAAATAAAACAAAAACATTAAATATATATTTCTCTATGCAGATTTTGGTATTTCAGATGCAAAGCATAATGGAAAAGAAAATGAAAATCAAGAGAAACATTGTAAAGCATTACAAGAACAACCCATCATCAATAACTTTTCTGTGTAAAAACTGTCACAAGCTTGCCTGCTCAGGGGACAACATTCATGTGATTGAGGGGATGCATCATGTCAATATGACCAAAGAATTCAAGTGAGTCCACAAAGACCCTTTTGAAGTTTTTCTACCGGCAGTGAACCACCATATTCTTCCCAAATTGTGAAAATGAGGTTTTTGTTCAGAACTTCTCCAATTTAGACACCCGAATCATATGCCTATTTCAAATGTTTGGTTTTTTCCTTTTTCTTTAATTTAATTTCTTTTTTTTTTAACTTTTTTAGTTCATGTGTGCAGTACATAATGATTACATCCATTGTAGGGAATTGGTACATGCACATAACACATTTCATTTCTTTATCTCCCCTTTTATCCACCCCCTTTTATTTTGCCAGCATTAAAATCATTCATTTATCTCATAACACCTTATAAAGTTAATTATCATATGTAAGATTAAAAACCAGACTAGTAGGACAAAAACCATAACTTTTTCTTTTTTCCAATTTTATTACTTAACTTTATTATTATGTTAAGTTTGTTTTTAAAATAATGTGTTCTGGGAAGGAAGAGAGAGATGTAAGATTCAAACCCATTTTGATCCACAGAATTTGTGGATGTTTTCACTTGTTCTTAAATTTTTGAACAACCAAAATCAATTCAGAATAACCTATATATTTGAAAGAATTCACAAAAGGCAACATGACACTTGACCTGTTGCGAGAAAGAGGACATCAATTTCAATTCCCACAATGGCCATGGAAGCAAGAGGGAGAGAAGGAAAGAAGTGTGGAATGCTATAGCCATTCACATGAGCACCATGCACAGGAGCACCAGGCCCAGCACGGATCCATGAGCTGAGTATCGATATTTTTCTGATTCTTACTGATGGTTCTTCCTTTCAATTTTAGGCAACTCTATACTGTGAGAGGAAACAAAGCACTGCAAAGTAAGTTTGCTGACTATCAAACAAATGGAGAGATTATCTGCAAATGTGGCCAGGTGAGTAAATTGCAGTGAGCTCGAGTTTACTCTGATCAAAAGCAGTATTTAATTGAATGTGCATTTAATTTTAATCTCACTCTCCATTTTGTTTTCCAGGCTTGGGGAACAATGATGGTGCACAAAGGCTTAGATTTTCCTTGTCTCAAAATAAAGAATTTTGTAGTGGTTTTCAAAGATAATTCACCAAAGAAGCAATACAAGAAGTGGGTTGAATTACCCATCGCATTTCCTGCTCTTGACTATTCAGAGTATTGTTACTTTAGTGATGAAGATTAGCATTTGAGTCAAGATTCTCTTGGACTGTTTTCAATTTAGCACTTAATATTATCTTGAGAAATATTTTCATTCCACTGAAGAACTGATGTGAGAATTAATAAACTCTTTACATTTAGCACTTTAGAGGAACACACTAATTTTGCTTTCAATTATCCATCTTATTGACTGACAAAGGGGAAAAAAAATCCATCAAAAATACTCACCAGTGTGGAGCATTACAGTACTGTGGAAGGAGAACTGAACTATAAATGAGATTTCAAATTGCTGATGTCACTTCTGTCACTTATTTTCCAAATAAAATTAGGCAGCTCAGTCAGTCATCTTTATAAACGAGTCTCGTTACTGGTAGAATATTTACAATGTTGTCTTCTTTTGTTTTTATTAGTTTTCTTTTGTTGAATAAAAATTGCCACAAATTGGGTGGCTGAAAGCAACACTCACTAATTATAGTACATGTTCTATTGGTCAGAAGTCTAGGCAAGGTTCTTAGGGTCCCACCAGGCTGAAATCAAGGTGTCAGCCAGACTGCGTACTCATCCAGAGGCACTAAGAGAAGAATTTACTTCTAAGTTCATCGCAATTATTGCTAGAAGTTGTTTCCTTGCAGATGTCTGACTGAGATTCCCATTTTCTTGCTGAACGTGCGCTGGGAATTGCTCTTAGCTCTTAGGAATGCCTTTAGCATGTAACCTTCTCAAGGTCCCTTCCCAACATAGACATTTGTTTCTTCCCAGGCAGCAGGAAAAACCCTCAAGCCTGCTAAATGGAGTCTTTTATATAACTTAACTGTGCTAACAGGAGAAATTTTTTTGTCATACATGTAGACCCTGCAAAAACTCGAGGCAATGGAGATTGTTCAAGGCATCAGGGCAGCAGGCAGGAATCTTGGAGGCCATCTTAGAATTCTGGCACCACACCAGCTGTCCAGTCTTTGCCATCAGTGATACATATATATCCAAAAGAAAGCACTTTAGCAAACATGAGGCACTATAAAAACACAGAGTTGCTGGGAATCAGCATCAAGTAGCCTAAGGCTTACTTTTTCAGTCCCTTCTCCCAGGACACAACACCATGCTGGAAAACTACCTAACAACAAAGTGGTGATTAAACGCAGACTAGACCGCCTATGAGATTGCCTGTGTCTGTGGAGAGAGCCGCTCATCTTCATCCAAGGTTCTCCCAAGACTTCACAAAGGAAATACTACAGAATAAAATGAAAATGGCTGCTTCTGCCTATCCATGGATCCTGGCAATAGAAAAATCTCTGTCAGGAATGACACTTTCAGTGTTTCTGAATAAAGAGCTATCATTTGAAGATGGATACAGTGCCGGCAGTATCTCATGCAGATGGATATAGGGAATGCTCCAGGAGGTTCTCCCAATAGAAAAATAGCCTCTTTTGTCAAGAAAGTGCCATACTATTGAGAAAGAAACCATAACTGACCACTACCAAATCTCACAGCTGCCTTCCTCCACAGAAAGTTACTGCATGTGACCAAGAAGAAGCAAAATGTTGGAGGAAAAAATTATTCTGTAACTTTAATGGATCAATTAAATTCAATATCATAGTAGCTTTGAATCTTTTCTTGACCTTAGCAAAGATGAAAATATTGCCCAGTCAGAGCTCTTGGTAATAAAGAGGGCAAAAGAAATTGTAGCTTTCCTAAAACACTTGGAGTATCCCAGCTGATTCCATTTAAAATATTGCTGCCTGCTGGAATGTCTTGGAAATATGCAAGAAATCAAATGCATATAATAGCTAAATGTACTACTCTAACATATGTGGACTGTTTTTGAGGTATCAACACGTCAGGTTTTTAATCTATGTTTTCTATTAACTTTTTTCAATAAAAACTATTGTTTCTAATTTAAGTTGTAAAATACATGTTTCAAATAGTATAAAACAGTACCATAAAACTTGAACTAAGGTATATATAATTAATTTAGCAACAAATGTAATTATAGTAGAGTTTTGATTGATTGTTGCTGAGCCATTTAATAGTCATAATATTTTAGTGTCACTCTCAAAATGTGTTCATGACAGGTGGACATTAATGGGAAGTAATGCCTCAGTTTTAGTTCATATAAGACTTAATTGATTGGGTGACTTTGAAGGACCTTATCTCCTAGAACCTGTGTTTCTTTTCCCAAAAGATGAGAAGTTAGATTAGATGCTACCCAAGCTCCCATGGAGCTGTCATATCCTCATAGTCTATGCTTCTGGCAGCCTGGCTGCTTTTAAGACCTTGCCTAATGACTTGTGGTAATATCAGCTGTGGCCTAAGTACCGAATGCATATACTCCACCCTTAAATGTAGCTCATGTCTGTTGAAGGGTTCTCCAGAGATCCCACAGAGCAGGTAGGTTCACTATCTAAAGCCAAGGCAGGTTGAAAAGGCTTGAAAATGTCAGGAAATTTTAGAACAAACATTTCTAAGCCAAAAGATCATTGGAAAGCCTTGTAAATATAAAATGTGAAGTACAAATCTCAAAGTCCATGATCTTTTCAGACTAATTGAAATTAAAGTACAGTGATTTAGAGGTTGAATGTACGACATGGAGGCAACACAAAGATGAATAAGGTATAGTTTCCCAAAGTATACTGTGCATGTCACAAGTAATTATTAAAAGTGTAACATGCTATAAGAGTGGTGAATATTATCTTCTCTGCAATTTAGTAGTTTCCATAGCAGAGTGTTATACCTTGGAGAAAAATTTTCAGGTATTGTTTTCAGTGTAGTTGAACATGAAGGCAAGAAGGATTTGGAGTTTCTCTTTGTCATTATTGCTCTTAAAATATGAGAAACTCTACCCCTTTGTCTGGTGATGGATTTCTAGATTGTTTCCATAGTTTAGCTGTTATAAATTGTGGAGGTGTAAACATGAGTATGCATGTATCACTATGGTATTTAAGTCTTTCGAGAAACAACCCAGAAGAGGTATAATGAGTCAAATGATATTTCTATTTTTAGTGTTTTGAAGAATATCCATACTTATTTCCATAGCGGTTATACTAGGTACATTCTCAACAACAATGTGCAGCATTTGTAGGTTTTTATGTTCTTGAAGATATCTGGCTGGAATTAGATGGAAATTCAGAGTTGTTTTGATCTGCATTTCCCTAGGGACTAAACAATAAATATTTTTTCATTTATTTATTGGCTATTTGTACTTCTCAGAGAAGTGTCTGTTTCACTTGCTCATTTTTTTGATTAGGTTGTTTTGGGGGGGGCTAATTTTTTTTAAAATTCTTTATATAGTCTAGATTTTAGCCCTTTATCAGAAGAACAGCTGGCACATTTTTTCCCATTTTCTAGGTTTCCTCTTCACTGTGTTAATTCTTTCTTTTGCTGTGAAGAAACTTTATAATCTAACACAATCCCATTTATTGATTCTCAGTATTATTTCTTGTACTATTGGAGATCTGTTCAGGAAGTCCCTCCCTTTGCCTTCTTATTTTAATTTTCCAGCAGTTTCTGTGTTTCTATTTTTTTATACACAGGCCTTTGATCCATTTTTACTTGCTTTTGGTACAGAATGAAAGAGATAGGTCTAGTCACTGGAAATGAATCAAATTTTCAGTTAAATTTGGAAGCCAAAAGAGGTATTATTATTTTGTCATGTAAAGATTTTTTAAGTGGCAAAAAAGTTGTAAGAAACTCAAATACACAGGTGATTTGGGGAAAGAGCAAAAGACAGTAAGCAAAACCTAAGTGTTGTTCAACATCAGAGTAAACTGGATATTTTTGATGTTTTCTACAAAATGCTCTTCCCTATTCTGGTCACTCTAACCCTTGCTCAAGTGTGTGTCTTTGCATATGATTAGGAGTCATTCTTTGCCAATTTTTGACCAGATACCGTTATGATCTTCAGAGATTAAAAAACACACACACACAAATGTGACTTCACAGCATCTATCACAGTTCACATTTTCAGAACTGGGCTGGAGAGAACAAGTAGGGAAAGTGCCCCTCGTTCACTCTGAGCATGACAAAATACTGGCTTCCCAAACCTGGCCAACCATTATGTGAGTCATAAAAATAGAGAAAACAGGAAAGGATTTTATTTTCTTCTAAGATTTATGAAGTTAACTTGAAACAAGTATAAACTGTTCATTTCCCTTTAAGTAGTCTTATTAGATATATCACTTCATATCTTTGTCTCTATGCATACAGTGACCAGTGACGGAAACTTGGGTTTGGATCTTAACGAGCTTTATAACGTGGGAAAGCCACTTAATCTCTCTGAGATCAAGGGAATTAATACAAAACTTGATGTAATGTTATGAAAATGTAAACACTGCATGAAACATAGCTAGCAGAACATAGCAGCAAGAGCTGATGGGAAGAGCAGAAGCAGCTCTAGGAACCACACATGTAGGGATAACGTAAGGCAATAGTAAATTTTATATGTATGTTTAATATTTAAGTAGAACATATACAAAATTAGAGTCCCCTACATCAACACTAGCCTAGAGGGCTTAGACCAAGATCTACATAGTGACAGTAATAAAACATGATGGGCATAAGTATGCTATTCAGTGTAGCTTGGGGAAAGATTTAATGTTGAGATCTTCTATGGGCATAACAGAAAGATGATTAGTATAAATATAAATATCAATATCAAGCATTCATTAAATAGCTATGACTTAAATAGGGCTGTTGTGTAATTGAATGCTGTCTTCATCTGCAAGCAGATACAATAATACTATTGTATTGACTCCGCAACTCTGATATAGCAACAGACAAATACAAAGAGGGAGAAGGAAGAGGATGATGATGAGGAGGAGGGAGAAACTGGGTTTTCAACAGTAGTTTTTGTCCAACACAAATGTCTTTTGTTTCTAAATCCCTTTATCCCAGGTCCTAGGCTATAAAATATGAGATACATATGGAAAGCCTTGTAGGTATTCCTTATAATTTTTAGAATATTTTCATAGCAAGTCCCTTTTTATGTAAAATGAATCATTCTATAAACATTTTATTTGAAGGTGAATTGTGAACAAAAGTGAATAATTCTGAAATTTCATAATTCCAAAATCCAAGTAAAGCCCAGATCCTAGGTAGGGCCATGAGAAGACAACTGTCTATAGGCGTAACAGCAAAACCATACAGTGTTTATAATATATATGGGACACTATTTAAGTAGCATGTATCAGATGAATTGCTTCAGTTTTTGTACATACTAATTTCGAAAATACACATGGTTTTGACACTTATGAAGACAAATTTAGGTTATTATTCACTTACATATATAATAAATTTAAAATGGGCAACTTTTAAGCTTAAATATCTCTTGCAAATTCTGTTTTCTTAGGTTTCTAATGAGTTTATGTCTCACAATATTTAACAGGATGAATGTATGGCTAGATGTTTAGTTCTTTCATTTTAAGCCCCTTAACACGCTATGAAAATTATTTCATAATTCATCAAGACATTAGAATTCACATAATACTAAAATGACCAAAAGAATTGACTTAGTGTTATGATTCACTCATTTGCTCATCTGAGATTAATAACAATTCACTTCTGTATTAAGGTTTTTAATAACAATTCAATTCTGTAACAGAAAATAGGCCTTTTTATAAGAATTTGATAATGGTTTATATTTTTATGACTCTTCACAGTTTATCCTAAATAACCTGGTGAGTTTAAAATTACAACTTAATATAATGCTCACATTGATGAGTGAATTCTCAAACTTTAACATTTTTTATTTAGTTATACCACATAGTTTTCTACAGAAAGCCACAACTTTCTGAGGTAAAATTGGTTAAAATTCCCTAAACTTTGTAATAAATAATTAGTTTAGCAGTTTATTCTTATCACTCATTTATTTTGAGATCAAATGTAAAACTCAATGAATAACAATAAAATTTTAAAGTATTACAGCCCATGTTAAGTGTTGTGTCCCATGCAGAAAAGGAAAAGAAAGGAAATGAAAGCAGAAAAGGAATAAATAGAAACTAAATCGAATATATGCAATAAAATATGAAGATATCCACATTAAAAGAAAAAAAGAAATAATAATGGAAATAAATTTAACTGCAGGAGGTAAGGCTTCTAGTGGATTATTCCTTTATCCTTTCATCAAACATCTTTAAAGAATTAAATATACTTAAGGAGTTCCTTCTTATGGAACTGTATATTAGGTACAGAATAGTGAATAAAATAAGAATATTGCCCATATGGCTTTTCAAACTTGTTTGCAGAGATTAGCCAAACTCTTAATCATTAGTAACATATGGAAGATATTGATAAATTCAATGAGAGGAAAAGTAGAGATTACTGTCAATAGAAATTGAAGAAAGAACATATTGGGTTGTGTATTGCCTAGGAGATTCCCAAAGTTCTTTTTGGTATTATCCCTTTTGAAAAAAGATACTGTGCTGAGCATCAAGGATGAATATTGTGCAGATAAGAGAACAAAATGTGAAAACATAAATTATGATTTGTCATCAAATATTGTTGTGCTTTGGAAAAGCAAACGTGTTCTGACTACATTCAGAATAAAGTCTTATTGTTCTTTAAAAAGCACAATTGGGGATATTTTTGTCAATATCAGCAATGTAGAGACAAAATAATGTTTGTTGTAAAAGATATTACTAATTGTGTCATAGTCAAACTACTAAGATTCAATCTTCTGCAAGTGGTTAGAAAGGAAATAAACTAATGAAAGAGGATGTTACAGAGTGGCCAAGATTCTCTGAATGGAGCTAGAGGCAGGAAGAGAACTGCAATGCCTGTGTCAGGATCACATCCATCGTATTAAAAAGACGTCCTGAGAATCATCCTGTTCCTCAAAAAAATCTAGACAAAGTGGTCAGCAGCACGTCCAGAACAATTATCTTCTGGCCCAGGTAAAGACATTTCCCCATAACTATTCTGAGGAAAAGAACGCTCAGATAATCACTTTGCTCTAGAACAAGGGAGACAGATAAAGTGATGGGTTGTTTGGGCAATGTACACCTTTGTTCACAATGTTTAATGATTAGCAGCCAGTAATGTTGCTTTAGTCACCTTCTTTTCATTGCCACATAATATCTGATGCCCACAATTTCAAGGAGAAGAGTTTCCCTTTGGCTTGTAGTTTCAGTCTGTAGTCAGCTTGCTCTAAGGCAAGACGTACATGGTGGAAGGGCCTGACAGAGAGGGAAGGGGGCACCACGCAGAGGGATATAAACTTTCAGGTCACACCCCTACTGATTAGCCTCTTCTGATGTGGTCCCACATTTTAACAGCAAGTCAGCTACAGTGCCCCCCTTGTCCAGTCCTGCCTATGAGCACCTGAGACCTTTGGGGGATTTTATTTAATTAAACCACACAAATACAGTATTTTTAAAATTTTTAACATGCTTTATAATTGATGCTCAAGTTGGTTGAACTGTGTGACTGGGCTAGGAGAGCATGTTCTGTAACAAGCTAGCCTCGTAAGCGACCTTGGACAGAGAGTGAATTGGAGGTAATGAAATGGATGCAGACGATCTTCAAAGATCACTGAAAAAGGAGGAGTGAGAGATGAAGAATCTTGACAGGAGTTCCAAAGTTTCTAGCCCATCTGTTGACTGAGAACTAAAAGTCAGGAACCAAAGAGGGATGGCATAAGAAAGAGAGAGGAAGCATAACTGTTGATCAGATGCCAGGGGATATAGAAGAGAATGAACCCAAAAGCACAGAAATAGATTAAGTTTGAGCAGAAAGGTAGCTGCCATTACCAGATTGGAAGTAGGGAAGAATTAAAGATGAATAATTTTTTCCCTTCCTTCTTTTCTCCTTGTTTTTGTCTTTGTTGTTGTTATTTTGTTATTTATTCTCTTCAAAATAAAAAATGAAAGAAAGATATAACTTAATGTAAAAGTACAAAAGAAAGCAAAGGATGGAATTTATTTTCTTATCATCAAGCATTCCAGTGTCTGTTGAGTTGAAATTTAGATTTGAGGATAGACATGAGACACAAGGAAAGTTGTAACAACTTTTAAACCTGATGAATGCCAAATATTTATTCAGAACATATGTAATATTATTAAGTCTAGTTGAAATGGAAATAATAAATGTGGGACCCATGATTAAATAAATATTTATACAAGAGATTAGGTTGAGTTATGTTATATGTTCAAAAAGTTATGGTCAGTGTAACCCAGTGAAACTGGGCCT